CTATGGTTTTTCTGAAGCCAGGCAGAATATTCTGCTATATGAAAAAAAGCTGTATAAAATCTTCAGGAAATATAATCAACAATTTACAATAAGAATTGATATCTTTTTCAAGTGAGTCTTCAGAAATTTAAATCACTTGTATTCAGACTCAGGAATAGCCAACATGCTTAACTTATAATTTTATTATAATGCCAGCCCTCCTGTTAAAAACAGTGCTTACTTTATAAATTTACTTATGATTCTTCTCCCTTTCAACAATACTTCCAAAGTCACTGGCATATTAAAGGGACATTTGCACATCCACGTTTATTGCTGTATCATTCACAAAAGCTAAGATATATACTCAACCTAGACACCCGTCAACAGATGAATGGCTAAAGAAAATATGGTATATATACAAAATGGAACATTACTCAGCCATAAAAATAATATCCTATTATTTGTAACAAATGAGTAGAACTAGAGGACTTTTATGCTAAAAAAATAAATCATACACAGAAAGACAAATACTGCATGTTCTCTCTCATATGTGAATACTAAAAAAAAGTTGATCTGWATATAAAAATAGTTATTATTAGAGGGTGGAAAGGGGAGGGAAGGGGGGGGAGAGAGGCTAGATAAAGGGTACCAAGACAAGGTTAGACAGGAGTAATAAGTTCCAGTATTCTAGTTTGATTTCAATGGCTCAGTGGGTGACTAGAGTTCACAATAACCTATTACATACTTTAGAAATAACTAGAAAAGAAAAGCTTGAAGGCTTCAAACACAAAGCAATAACAAGGAGTTGCAAACATCCTGATTTGATCAGCACACACTGCATAGATGTATTAAAATATCCCATTGTATCTCATAAATATGTATGATTATCATGTTAATCAAAAATTTTTGAGATGTTTAAGGAGATGAAAATGCTAACTCTCCTGATTTGATCATCACACACTGTGATCATCATACACATTGTATCAAATTATCACACCATACCCTATAAATATGTGCAGTTAAAATAATAAGAAAGATATTTCCATGTCCAAGTCTATTCAAAGGAAAATCTTCACTAATAGTCTTCTATAATATGACTTTTAATAGAAAGTAACAGTTCTTGGTGTGAAACTCACTTACTCATTCACTCACATGTTTATCAGGGAGCAGGGCCTATGGCTGAGATTGGAGAGCACTGAACAATWAAAAAAAATTCTAGCATCATTAAAAAGTCAAGATGGAAAGGTAAGACCCCAGTAGGAGAGATTATAAAATGAAATTAAAATTCAGGCTTCTTTAGCAACTCAATCTGTAACTGGTCATCACTTTTCAATTATACTCTGCCTTGGTGTATCTAAAAAACATGATATAAAACAGAAGTAAAAATGTATTTTGATACTTAAAGGAAATGTTGAAAAAATAAGACTCACTTAAAAGACAACAGACCTCAGTGAAACATACTTATTATTCATTATTAATCAAAATGCKGTTGATAATATCCTACACTAGGAAGACTTCCTGGGCAGGATAGAGAGGGCTCACTCAGATTGACAGCATGGTAAATAAAGAGCTCTTTATCCCTCATTTTTGCCCAGATCTGTAATGTGACAGGAAAACCTGCAATCCTATTCTGAAGGCATTCCTCCAACAATTATTTTAACTGCTACTTTATTTACCACAATGCAATAAACAGTTGTTGACAAGGAACTAAAAGTCTTGAATTTGATATCCAGCACAGCTACTCACCACCAAGTCCTTTACTGTCATTACATTTACAACTTCTTAGTCTCAACTTCCTAACCTGTACATTGGCTTCAGATTCTCCACTGACCTCAATGGGCTATTTTGACACCACAGAGAAGCATAGAAATGCTAGTTATTCTCCTCCATAACAACCCAACTTCAGAATACACGAGGAAAAGAAAATGTCACAATGTGTGTAATTTCCCTAAACTATCTTATTTGGGAGAAAGAAAAATAACTACACAATTGAATAGAACTAAGATTGTAGAGCCAGCATCACGTAGTAACAGCTCAACTGAGTTCTAGGGCCAGCTTTCCATAGTCATAATTATAGGACCACAGTCAAGTTTCTTATATCTTTTCCAAAACTTAGTAACTATATAGCACAAATCAAAGTAACATCTATTCTATCAGTATGTTAGTTTTGTTGTGAGGCTAAGAACAGTACTGTGTAATAGTAATCTTAAGGACTGTAAAACATTATTTAATTATGGGCAATAACCAAATCAGTACAAGAAAATTGTTTACAATCACAAGTGACACTTGGGCTTCTTTTTAACTCTTCAGATAGCATAACACACATATCCTATGCTAAGAATTATCCTATAAAATGTCAACAGTACACTTTAAATGTGGATATTAAAAGTATATGTCACTGAAATCACATGGCTTAAGTCCCATGCTATTAGCTACACCTTTTTATAGAAGAAAAAACAATTTAAAAATAAGCATTGATCTTATGAAAGTAATAGTACATACATAGTGCTCTTCCCTCCCA